CTTTTGATATGCCAACTTCTCTACTAAAATATACATACCTGGAACACTCGAAGATTCCCCGGGTACCACAAACTATTCCGCTCGCATCGCACGATTGTTTTTATCTCTAGATTCAGCAGATAACCTATCGCTACATAAATGCCATCCAAATCGGATAGAACTTTCTGTATTGATAATATGCAATGTTGTATTAATGCTACCATTAACAAGACGAAGGCGGTGCAGATACAGGAGGTGAAATTTCACTACCTTGGTATTACAGTCCAGTTTTCGGGCAGCTTTCTCACAGGTGTTTATAGATGGTCTATGGAATAATATTTCGTCGTCGAACCGCACTGCTAAAATTAATGATTAATCCACTATAGAAAGATGGAAATTTGATTCTTGGGTTTGATACTTTCCCGTCGAATTTTAATCAGTTTATCGCTGAATACAAAGACTTTCCGCTAGACCTCTGGTAATCTTCTAAAGTTAAATTTTTGGAGGATCCAAAAATGTGTTCATTAGTTAGTGAAGGCTTTTTACAGCGCTGTAGCCTCAAACGACTAATAATCAAAACCTTCAAATCGGCTATTTTGAGACTTTGCCCAAAAAGGTAGAATCTGACAGTATACTTTGAGCCCTTCATGACGTCTGTTACGGCTTTTATAAAATGATAGACAAGTGTTTCGGCCTTCCAGCCTCGTCAGTAGCACGGTGCTTTTTCGTTCAGTCAGTTCCTCGTGGTCAAATCCCTATATAAAGAAATCGACGAAAACTTTTTACTTCTGACATACCGTGAAGGAAGTGTCTAGCACTATATTAGTGCCGTAACAGGCATCATGGAGGAGTCAGAACATGTCGTCGGGACATATCTACAATCATTTGATAATGTAAATCGGGTAAAATTGTTTTTTTAGAGAGGCCTGTTTAGAGCATTTTCATTCCAAAAATACCGTTTTATTGCACCGTATCAAGGGAAGTGAGAGAGGGCTGCTAACACGCCGCTCTTTGCTTGCCGCCTAAGTGTGGGTGGCTTTTGATCAATAATGCGATCGATCGGATGTGCAGCGCGATTCAGATGTTCTTTTACTTGATTTATGCCTCTGGTTTGAGAAAGAACCTTGCAAAAATGTATGGTTATGATATCTCATGATTTTGCCTAGATATTCATATGCTTTTCGTGCTTAGGGTTTACGTTGTTTGATATTAGGCTTCAGGCTTTATTTGGCAGTTTGAAATAACAGAGGAAAGCCTAGGTCCACAAAACGGTAGAAATGGGTTTTTTTTTGCAACTCCAATACAAGAAGAACGAAACTGCGCACGATAATGCGCGATGTTTATGAGACATAATTTTATTTTCCTGCTACAATATTGAAAAGAGTTTTTTCTAAAGTAAATGAACTTTTGGAGTTTTCGAAATTCACGCTATCGAACGATTATCAGTAGATTGAGGGAAGAACTCTGTGTAATGATTACTAGAAGTTTAGTGGGAAGTCTTTGTCCAGCAAAAGAGGTTTCCTCGAAATAGCTCTTCGTGAACCGTAAGTTCTTATATACCTCATTCGAACTGAGTCTGAGGTATATCAAACCTTTCTTTTCGAGTGTTTTCTCAAGACAACAGCTCAAATTTCAATGTGCCAGATAATCATTTTTTAGCCACGCATGTCATTTGGTTAGTTAAATGGGTTAACATATAGAGCCCGATACACGAGTTTCGACCTTGACGGTCTCGTCGGTCGGGCAGTTTGCCTTCGTCTATAGCCAAAACTCTCGGGGCGCTCACTCCCCTATACTAAGAGTAGGCAAAGACGAACACTCTACACACTATGTCCGGTGAAATTGACCTACCGACCTTGACGGTCTCGTGGGTCGAGCAGTTAGCCTTCTTCTTTAGCCAACACTCTCGGGGCGCTCAATCTCCTATACTAAGAGTAGGCGACGACGAACATTTTACACTCTATGTCCGGTGAAATTATCACCGAACACACAGTGTTGTACAGTCTAAGGTCTTTCAAAATGCGTACATGTGAGTTATGCAATGCATTTAATCTTTGCAAAGAAATGACTCAATATCGTTGATCTTCTTCGGAACATCAATGCTGAAACTGGCGCTCCTCCTCCAACGTCAGTCAATCCAACTGAGGATGATTATGGTAAAGAACTTGTGAACAAGAGGTGACAAGCAGATGGTACGATGGTTACTTTTTCCATGTAGGCCTCGCTTTTTGTGCAAGACAACTTACGCCGCTGGTGTTCGACTGACTAGGAACCTTGCATTGTAACATGAAATTAGTGAAGAATCTGGCAAGTACCAGAAGTTTAGTTCGTCTTCATGTGTTCAGTTCTAGTCCTGTTTAAAATAAATTTGTACAACCGACACCTAAGTGGTTAGAAAGCATGCCAGAGATTGGAAGAGAGAACCGCTGTGACAATCTTCACCTCTATCACCTGTCGTCCCGTTGATCGTCGAGTGACTCAAGCGCTTACCGGCAACCTTTCATATTTCCCTATCGCGGGCAAAAGAAGCCCAGTGGGTTCTCCTCGCTTTAGGGATTCGCTAAGCATAATATCTTTCTTCTATGCCTTTCATGGCGAAATCGGGCCATCGGGTCGGTGCTCCTCCTGTAGAGCGCTTGATATCTTGAGGAATCCAGTCGGTAATGGCTCTCCTTCATCGGTTGTTGTTGAAGCGCATCACGAGTCCCCCCCACCTTATTTTCGATGTCTGGCGTGTAGAACGGCGTTTCTAATTTTCGATCGTTGACGTAGGTCGGAAGTTCGGATCCTTTCTCTCATTCGAGAGATACGGGATACTCCTAGCATCAACCTTTCCACTGCGCGTTCAATAACGCCAAGTGAACTTTCATCCTGCTTACGTAGCAACCAGGTTTCTGCTGCATACGTTAGAGTAGAAAAGGTGAGCACAGAGTGGATGTTCTTTGTTCTCTTCACTACATCTTCGATGCTCTTGATCATTCCCCAAGCCGCTCGTTTCCACCTGCTCAACTCTGGAGCTAGATCGTTCATCATGCTGATTTCACGACCTAGTTAGACGTAGCTGGCGCATTCGGAGATTTTCGTTCCGTTGAGCATGAATGGGCCATTCAAAACTCATCCGTTCCTCATAAATATCGTTTTCGTTGGATTCAGTTGAAAACCAATCTTTCCACAGGCGTTGTCGAAATCGGTCAACATTCGTTACGCTTGGCTGATGTTAAGTGTAATGAGAGCGATGTCGTCAGCGAAGCGAAGATGGTTTAATCGTCGACCGTCAATTTTCACTTCCATCTCGTCCCATTCTAATGTTCGCATGACGTTTTGGAGGTGGCAGTGAATAATTTTGGCGAAATTGTATCGCCTCGTCGAACCCCTCTTCTTACGTTGATGGTGATATTGTTGAAGAATGGAATTATTTCGGTGGTGAAACCTTTATATAGCTCACGAAAGTTCATTATGTACCGAGTAGGGACGCCATGGTTATACAGAGCCTCTATAACCGCTTCTGTTTCCACTGAATCAAAGGCTTTGTTCGAGTCAATGAAAATGAGACAGAGCAGTGGTTTATACTTTCGTGAAACTCCAAAGACTGTTGTGATCGTGAGAGTGTGGTTTATGGTACTAAATCCTTTTCGGAACCCTGCTTGTTCGCATGGCTATCCTTCGTCCAGTTTTCTGCCGATCCTGTTTAGGATGACTCGAGTGAAGACTTCGAAGGCAACGAACAGCATACAGATTGGGCGATGATTGCCTATGTCGTGGAGGTCTCCCCTTTTGAACAACAACACGGTCTTGCTGGCTTTCCATTGAATGGGGACCTCATATTCTGTAACAACCTCATAGAACCAAAATGAGGGCGGATAAAACCACAGATGATCAACACACTAATTCCAGATTTGGTTAGCCAGAAACGACTCCGGAATTCTAGCCCTTCATCGTAATCGCCCGAAAGACCGTCTCTCAACGTTATCGCGAACGAAAGAACTACGGTGACCGAGCCTTTCATTTAAGTGTTTCCTTTGAGCGTAGTTTCTCCTTCCACCAAAATCAGTACTCATCTAATGATAAATAAGCGGTTCAGACGTGACAACTGGTTTTTGAGATGGTCGAACATGAAAATGTTTGACCTTTTTTTCTTCTTCGCAAAAAAAGAGAAAATAGGCTACAGATTTTTTGGACATCTGTTGAGTTCATGCACCGAATTCTGTACATACGAGACGAAGCATCCAAAATGTTAGCCTTTTCTATAGCGATCCATTTGTCGTGAATCTAACAAATCCCTTCACGTCTCGCCACAACATGCAATTGTTTGATCTTCTTTCTAGCCGTTCTCTAACGACATAGCATATGTAGTTAAGTATTCCACCAAGTGGCTGGTCACTCCTCAAGTGAGATAAATGAAATATAGAATTTTAGACTTTTTATGTTTCTGTGTGTCACTTGCGCATTACCGTACTCAGAACATCTGCAAGCCGTATGCTTTCAGCAGTTGAAGTCTGAGATATGGATATTGTCATTAAGTGTACACAAGTTAATAACCAATACACACTCCACACAAAATTGAAATAATTACATCTGCCTAAAAAGTAAAATACAAGTCGCCTTAGCGAGCATCAGCAGCCACTTCCCATTTTCATGCTCTGTTACCATGAATATGGTCACAACTATTCACAATATCACACAATAATTACTTGTAGATCACCATAACGTAGCACTTTTGAGATTCAAAAGATAGAATGATTCTAACTTGCACCTGATTTTAGCTCACGGAAAGAGTGATCTGGGTTTAAATCCCAGCTAACGAAAATGTTTTTACACACCACTCTACATTATTGGGTTTATCGAAACATCATACCACCGCAATAGGCGGTCAAATAAAAATGAATTCTGATAGCTTATTGATATCCAATATCTGTCAGCATAAGTGGGCCCAATTTCGATAGCGACTGCCCACGCCAGACCGTAGACGGTTGGCTGTTGACAGATGATGCGTTGTAGCGTAGAGAGTGGTGTCAAAACGGGCTTCGGTAGTGCAACGGTTCAGCACGAGCTCGCGGAAGAGTGAAGTCTGGGTTCGAATCCCAGCTGACGCAAATGTTTTTGCATACCACTCTACATTATTGGGTTCAGTGAAACATCATACCATAGCAATAGGCGGTCAAGCGAAATTGAGTTCTTGATTTTAGCGTTGACCTTGATTCTTGTTATCCTCGTTTGCATCTTCCTACTGACGACTATCGGAGCTGTTATCTTCGCATTGATCCGAACGCGACGAAGTCGGACGGGGACGTAGGTCAATTCAACGATGATAGCCATTCAAAAAATCGTAATCTACTCTTTTATACATCATTTATTCCATGTTTGATATCCTACTTTACAGATATCAGCTTCACAATGTGCCTAATGGGATGTAAGTTGAATAAGTTGAATAATGTTAATATCTTGAGTTTCAAGGAGCAATTTGTTTCCTAAGTTCGTGTATGTTATGCATGAAGCGTTACGGTGTGAAGTGGAAAGATGACAACTTGCCAGCAAAATCTAGTGACTGGGTACTTTTCCGTTTAATAGCAGAGATTTTCAAGCCTATCCCCCATTCCTCGGCAAGAACGTTCTATAAAGAGTGTTGATAATCACTCGAAAGCTTAAATCTCAAGCTAGCGCTGTATAAGGTTGGTTATTAAAAAAACCCCTCAAATAATGCTGAGAAATTCAAAATAGAATTGTTTCACACGCGCATACTTCTCGCTGTAGAGAGCTCTTTCTTCAGACTATCATCGATAGCGCAAAACTTACCGATTTCAACGCTGTGCTTACAATCTGAAAAGGCCGTTTCTCTGCAACTCACGGAAAATAAAATAGATAAACATGAGCGAGCAAGTGTTCTTTGGCCAATTCACGGACGGTAGGTGTGGGGAGGGGCAGGGAGTGGGTTGGCGTGAACATCGATCAGTAGCGCCCAAGTGGAATGTATTTGATTAGAAGTTCTTCTTACGATTTGGAAGAAACTCCGGATTGAACGTTTGACTCTGATATTTAAAGATTTCCTTTACACGTTCATGTGCCCTTCGTGCTTCCAGGAAAATGATAGCTGAGTTGTGCGGCCGATGTGAAACATAATTGTATCCTTGATTTTTCAGCGTCATAGAACGGTCTTTTCAAAAAACCGGCTTCGTGGAGCGCTAGCTTGAGATTTAAGCTTTCGAATGACTAGTAAAACTCTTTATGAGAACTTCTTGTCCAATGTAGGGGTTAGGCTTGAAAATCTGTGCTAGCAAAGGGAAAAGAATCGTAACTTGAGATACACTTTCGGTCTTATCTTCTCATAGATATCAGCTCAAGTGCCCATATTCCCAAGTTTATAGTTTAGACTCAACTTGTTGTGAGAAAATAGAACATGCTGTCATCCTTTCAAGACTTCAAATCTTCTGCACTCAATGAAGGAAAGCGTTCCATAGGAGCGATATTCTCATATGCAGCGAAATCTGTATTTAATAATGTAATAAGTAAAATCGTAACGAGCTGGCTTTTTGAGATCGTCATCCTATTGTCCGCCTCGACTTTTTTTTTAGCGAAAATAAGATTTAGGCCACAAAAAATTAGATTTGGAAGAACGAAAAGGTTGCGGCCAATTAATTGACACATATACCAAAATCTGTACTTACGAGGCTACCCATCCGAAATACGCATGTACGGAAATCCTTACATCAAGCCGTCATGACGAAGTTCCAATTCAAACTCAAAATTGAGTTTCAAACCGTTTGACCGCGAATGTATTGACAAAAGTGGGAATGGAATGGCTATCATATTGTTTGTCACTGGTTAACAATCCAAAGCAGATCACAGTGTGCAGTTTTTACTTGAGAAGCTGAAAGGATCAAGTGATAGTACAAATATTGAAGAACATGAAAGCTCAGATCACTCGCAAGTATTCATGCAGAATATTTTAGATTGGGTTGGGGACCTTTACCAGAACTATCCTCTAGTTGGATTATGATAATCACATTCCTGTCAAAGCATCCTTTCAGGCCATCTACACGAACGGTTCAGTCCTCATGGACTTGATACGACTTTTTGTGCAAGTGATTTAGATTCTAGTCAGTATAACACGGATCTTTCTCATTTTAACTCAAGTTTACATAGCTTAAGTATTATTAACAATCACATAGGCATTCGAAATTGTTGAAGTGCTCATAAATATACTTTCTCTATAGAATATTCGGGATTCTTTCACACTATGTTCTCTCTCATGTGCACTTTGGAGTTTTTTTTTTGAGTTGTGTAAATAACTAAAAATAAATATTTATGTATTTTCATCCATTCAGTCATTGATACGGGCCCATAGAATTTGAGAAAAAGTGTTAGATAAAAAAGATCACGTACATCGCACATAAATAAAGTACACCCTTCCCACCAAAATGCACAAATAAGTTGTCAAAAGATAAACATGAATTTTTCAAATGTAAATGTATAAAGAGTACTAAAAATTAATCTCTACCTAACAACTTGTATTTGTCAACTCAACCCTTCATAATGGCTAAGACGCAGAAACCAAGGAATGTACTGCTCTAGTGAGTTGTAAGTACTTCCACCAAGTTATACTACAACTCACATTCAAAAACCCAATTGCTAATCTACAGAATAAAAACAAAGTCTATGCCGTAATTTATGCAACAAGGCAATCTGATTTCTGTGCTACATCTAAGGAGAATTTATATATCTGTCCGATAGACCAATGCAACATGAGATGTCCTAACATAAAGAACAACAATTTTTTAGAGGATGTTTAGTGTACTAGTACTAACCAACGATACAAGCAATCCGATAAGACATATATTTTGACCACGTAGAAGAGCAATACTCGGCCACGTATCTAGCAACACCAGCTATCTCCATCGAGATCCCTGCTTCAGCAGCCTTCAATACCAGTCGTTCTTGTTCCTAGAAAGACATAGTATACGACGATGCGTATCGTCCCGTGCATTGAGATCCATTCATGACCGGCTTTATAAATTCTTTCTCTTGCAACAATCGTTTTAATTTATGATACTTATATAAACTCGATAACTTTTCTTGAGATAGATGCTCTGATCAGCGTAGATTGACTAAGGCTACTTCCTGCATAGTATAATTCATTACCATTACATGGTTAGTATACTATCCATCACAACTCATCACACTGCCCCGATACCTCTTGAACCGCAACTCAAGAACTCTTGATCCGAATCGTTCCCTTGCACTCGCCATCCACAAATGTTTTAGAACACTGCGCGCATGAGTTCGGCTGCCGTTTAGGTGATTTCCTTCCCGTTCTGTCAGGTTTAATTGGAGACGTTGGGTATCCGCAGCAAGGCGTCTCACACAAAAAAAGCTTGGGTTACCCTATCCGAGATTGGTTTGGTAGCAATTTCGCGACCTCAGAGAGATGAGAGGTTTGATAAGCTTGATTCGCAGTCAAACCAGCGCTTTAGTAGGTTGGACCATCTGCGTAACGAATACGATCACTACCACTACGCCACCAGTAAGTACTTCAAGTATTATGATACTTATAAAAGATTTTAAGAGAGAGTACTTCTTTGCATATCATCATAATTTTCATTTATGTGCTCACCAATAGCCTTTGAAGCAGTGACTATGGCATCAAAGACTTCATAACAGATTCCCTTATAACTTTCTTTTGATAAGCATTATGTTCACACTGCTAAGCCTGTCCTCTCTTCAACCTGTTGAACATTCTGCCAGCATCAGTTGAGAAAAGCCACCTCGCACACTTTACAATCTAAAAAAACTGCTTTCCCACGGGTTAGGAAGTATTGCAGTGTTTTCTTATACAAGTACTAATATATAGCCCTTACGTTAGCTCCTCTCTACAACGACACTGCAAAGACTGAGAAAGTTACTTAGTGACTGAGTGACTCACTGGGATGAGGTGAGGATTCAACAGACACAACGACGGTGCGAAATCATTTCAGTGTGCACCACGCGCGTGAGAAAAATTAGAATTCCTCAAACACGGTTATTATCTTTCAAGCGTCTTTCCAAACGTCCCAAATATAGATCGCTTTTGTTCATCCATGCAGAGGGCATTTGAGCTACTCCAAACTGAATTCCATCGAAGAGATTAGAGTTTTGATACACTCATGACATGCATGTGGTAATCCTCGTTGTCCAAATCATCTTCGATTTCTTATTGCTCATCGTCAATGAAAATTATGACTGTAATCAAAATTTGATTTCTCACGGTCGAAATAATCGAACCCGCTGAATTTGATGATATTTGTCCATTTTTTCAATTTGTTATTCATTCGAATCCTTATCGAAAGTAGCTGCGAAAGGAATAAAAACTAGACTTTGATTCCAGCGAGAAAATCAAGAAGAAACGGTAAGAACGCATTAGATTGGACACCTTCAGGATTATCAGGAGATACCACTCTCGACCTGTTTCAAGAACATTCATAAAAGAAATGAACTCCACAAGAAGCAGACGAAAGAACATGTGAGATTTTTGAAAATTTTGGTGTAGGATGAATGCAAGGCCCGCACAATAAGTTGTGGTGGCGGATCGTGTAAAGCGAAATAATGGATAAATCTTATTGAAAACCAAAGGCATTACACTTGATACATACCTTCGCCTGTCGTTCTCCTTCACTTTGTACATGCATTGGTTTGCTCTGCTGCAGTTTGTGAAGTAAAGTCAGAAATATAGACTCTACATGATCTGCTTCAGAATCCGCCTTAGCCGACGTCTCAAAGAGTGCCATGTTATTACGATCAGCGAAAATCTGAAGAAAAACCTAAACAAGTCTAACAACACTTTATAGAAAATCATACTGTTTGAAAAGGGGTATAGAGTAAGTATTACGTACGTCAACTACTTCGAAATAATGGGACGTCCAGTGCACTTAAATTATTTCTAAGATCACATTACCAAATGAAATACTGGAACATTTTGAAAAAGTACTCCGAAGCTAGAGAAAATTTCCCTAACCTGTGCAGCATCCGTGTCAACATGTGCAGTGCTTGAAGATTTTAGATCACACTTGTTTCCGATAAGAATTCGCGGCACATTCGAGTCTGCAGTCAAGCCGTTCTTCTC